GACCTCTTTTCCGAGACCATGTTTGGCCGGAATCGCGATTCTGCGTATGTCGGCTCGCAACAGCGGCGCGTTTGCAAGCTTTTCGTGGTTTCAAACGTTCAAACATGTGATTTGATGTTGCTTCCATGCATTAGGGTGGGTGTCAAGGTCACCTGAAGGTCAGGTCAGGTCATTGACCTTTGGTGACCTCGGGTGAAATCGGCTCACTTTTTCGAGCTGTACATGTTTCTAGGCTAGTTTTTGGAGCTGAATTCGAATTTAGCAACCATTTGAACATTTACGAAGTAGTTTTGGTGACTTCGTAACATGTTACGAAGCTGTCAGAGGCGGTTGACACGTACTACGAATACCCGTCACGATGCCTACTGGTTGACCTGACCTGACCTGACCCGACCTGGTCTAAATGCTTAAATACATCATCTGTGATCAAAACTAACACGATATTCGTGATTGGCACCCCGAAAACCCCCTTAGCAGCCACAATTTACGACTTTCTAACAGGTCCCGATTTTCCCGACTTTGGGTCATTGACCTGACCTGGAAGGTCACCCAATGACCTAGGACCTTAAAATTGGGTATCATTGGCTTCCTCTCGTCACGGGCAACACGCTAGTTTTTTCCGCGAAGCTCTAGCTCGATCAGGGGCCAAACGGCAAGGGGGGGTCCAACCGACCCCCCCCCCCTACACATTAGAAGCTGGCAAACGCCGCACACATGCGAGGGTTAAGTTAACGAATCAATGCTTTTTTAAGAAAACAAAGTCAAACTGGAAAAAAAAAACATCAATGCCTATATAGTATATATCACAACATATGCTCTTGCATGGTACTGAAATCGGCAAGATGATCCGATGGGTGCTGGAGAAGGAAATAGTATCATTGTTTCCTTATCATTTTCGCAGACACGCTTATCTACCTGTACCTGGACAGAAGCTGCGAGATCTTCTAAAAGACGTGGTAAACCATTGAATGATCATGACCATGAATTTCAAATGTACGATGAAGCATAAAACCAGTAAGGCCGTCAAGTTCCAGCTGTTTTATATTTGAAACAAAAATAACAAATCGGGACCACATCATTGCGCATTTAGGGGGTTCTATTTGTTTCCTTCAATTTACACTTGTTTGTCGTTGACACTTGACAGCCACGCCTGACAGATTGCTATGGCATTATGTTTATAAGAAAATCCATTTTTCGCGTTTCATCGTTGACAGTCAAGCCTGTCAGATCACTATCTCATTTTGCCTGATAAAATATAATCAAGAAGTGTAGCTTTGCAATTACAATTTATATATGTCCTCGTATTTAAGAGGAACATTTAATGCCACTGCGAAACATATCCGATAGTGCTGGCCAGCGTCATAACATTATTCTCCGGCTCTGGACTGGCCTGGCAGCTTTCACATGTCGGGCACGTCATGTCTTACCAGACAACCCCATCTAATATGTCACATCAATCTCTCAAATCTCCACAGCACGAAACGATACCGTGTCGGACACAACTCGCCAAAACTGTGCTGGCCTACCAATGTGTTCATGAGGATCGAGCTGCTCGTGTAGGCAGCCTATGCTCGGCAGTAGTTTTGGCCTGCTTGCATGACTTTGAGAACCTCACCAGCTAAAACCGTGGTCATGGGGCCGACGGTCTCGGCCACTCCCCCTGCGGGGCGCGGCGGCGGCCTGCCAGTCCTGCCGGCCGGCCATTCGATTCAATAAGGACCGATATAGCGGAGCTCTGCGGTCCGCGCCGCCGTTCGTCACGGGAACAGCCACGGCGAGGCCGTGACACCGCCTTCATAGATTCACAGCCGGCACTGACGAGAATTTGCGATGAACATCTCTGGCTAGAGCAACGACTCTGTGGCTCGTTTGCATGAGATAAGCGCTGGTGGTGTCGTCGGCTTTTTAGTTTAGTGTACTGGTCTCACGTCAGTTTACTTGTCGGTTCTATGTAAACCGGTCATGGATGTGCCCTTGTCAACCAAAGTCGTTAGTGGATCCGGAGAATGAAATACGGTTTGGTTTTTAAAATAGCCCACATCGATTGATGGTCATTATGGTTAAGGATTTCCGGCCATTTCCTTGCAAATTGATGAGGGCGTTTCGCCAGCTTTAGTCAGAAAAGTTACTGTACCTTCACAAGAATATCTCAAGTTCTAGTATCTTTAGTTTCATGACCAGCAAGCAGGAACCGAAACTCACTGACCAGCTATTTATAATCACCGGTGGTTTGCACTCGCACTCTTGATTCGATAGCCTGAAAAGCAGTCTCAATAATCCAGCAACAGCAAGCAACTGCAGATGCCCCCCCCCCCCCCCACCTCTCTGCAGACCACCACACCGAAGGAGCACCAGCAAGACGATCCGGCGACTGGCCAAGGAAGTTAATAATAAAACGGAGCGAATCTACGCGGTCTGGCCTCAGAGCAGGCTGTAAATTCGATGCGGCGCATATCTACAATATTGACGGCGCCGACGAAAGGGGTAATCTCCGCTTCTATGGGTTTATAAATATTGGATCGGCGAACACATCTGGATGAAAGGTATCTCAGCTATTTGATGCATCTCATATTTGATGTTTTCGTGTTGTGTAAAAATATTTGCAGGGTATTGGGTTGTTGTACAATGGCTTTTGAGACCGCTTTCATTTCTGCTTATCAATTGGGTGAAGCTTTTTCATCAGCGCAAGAGCTACGAACTTTTCATGAATGGCGAACAAGTTTTTTTTTGGCGCTGGGTGCATAAGTAGTTAATACGACAAATTTATCGATTCGCCAAGCAATCGGTTGATAGCAATATCCAACTACAATTATGTTTGGTTCTAGTGCAGAACCCTACGTTTATTGGCATTTACTGGGAGTTGAAGGCGCATATTTTCCCATTTCTGCAATATTAACAACACCAACCGCAGCCCTTTTGACATGCCGTCCGCCTGTTTGACTCCCATGGATGCGAAATCGTCCAGGCTGGCTCGATAGCCGCTCCAGTCTGTGCGCCACTAGCCGACCATCAAACTGAGGTCGGCTGCAACATTTCCGCCCGACCGGAACAGCGGCGACACTCTGCAATAGCTTCCGAAACAGCTGGGAACCGCCGCCGACATTCCGCAAAGTCGGCAGGCCGGCTCTTCCAGCAGGCTTGATCTCTCCTTCGTCTATGAATTCTTCATGGTGTCGCGTTCACCTGCTGACACGACCACCCCCCCCCCCCCTCCCCGGGTAGAGAGTGACAGCTGATCCTGTCACAGTCGCTGATGGTCGCCAGACAGACCATGCAGACCAGACAGACCAGACAGACCAGACAGACCAGACAGACCAGACAGACCAGACAGACCAGACAGACTAGACAGACCAGACATGCCAGCCGGACCAGACGGACCAGACAGATTAGACAGACCAGACAGAGTGGTTCTGTGTGGGCTTATGTCACCAATGGCATGTTTGCATAGTTTGTGTGCCGGCAATGGCACATGCATGTTATGTTGGTCGCGAATGGAACGCATTCTAATGCAACACATACAATGACGTAAGTGTGTGAGGCATATATGCTTTATATAGATTGCCTGGTTATTCAAATTCCGTCTAGAAAGATATTGACTTGGTTATGTAACTAGATATGTATGAATCTATAAACTCACTTGCATGCGACCCATACGGATCCTTTTACATGCACCCGCAACGTATCCCGGCGGTCACGTGGCGGAAAAGACTATCGATAGTGGTACATTTCCACAAAGAACATGAGCGTCCACATATCAACCACGTTTTATCCACATGGTTTCCACACCTTCTACACCACACAGCATCCCCAGCTTCCACGGAGCTACCTCACATAATCCACAGAGCTTCCACAGAACGTCCACAGAGCTTCCACAGTCGCCGCTCGCTGTTCGTTCCGACTCGTTGCGTCCCGCTCATTGATCAGGGCTGTGTCACGGCGGTGCACGCCCCTTTCCGTCCCTCACCGGACGCCCACGGTGGTCGTTTGTGCCCAAAGAACGTGACCTCGGCCCGGGAGCTGCGGGAGGGAGCTGTGGAGGCTCTGGGGTGAGGATAGGAGAGACCAGCGAGGCGCAGTAAGAGGAAGAAGTGTCGATGGATGGTAAAGATTCAATTCAATGCTGGAGGGCCAGTATGGGGTGCTAAAAGGGAACGATAAGGATTGAGGATAAAGGAGAAAGCTATTGGAGTTGAATGTTGGGTGATGGTGAATGAATCTCTCGGGGACGACACGCACATGAAAAATTCCACGGACGTTCTGGGCAGTGCAATGTCACCTGTAGGTATGTGGGTACGAAGGCAATAGGTCAACGCCAAATTATGTCGTGTTTACTCATATGCCTTCACAGTTAGTTCTTGCAATCAAAACGCTATCAATTAATAAGCCTCTTGTAATAAAACCTACGTAGCAATTACCCAAGTTTTCAATAACACCGCAGAAACAAGCTATGGCCGTTGTTTTCAGCAACTTGCACCATTTCACAACCTAAATGAGTCTATTTTGCTGTTCAATGCCATAAAAGCAGAAGAACACCGCATGTAAATCACTTAACTTTGGAAAATTGGATAAGCGTGCGTAAAACCAGTTAAGCTATGCAGTGTGTTTCGCATTAGAAGACAAAGAAGCTAGACAGCATTTACACTAATGATATACGCAGCACATATAACTTAGATTATAAATGATCGTTATACAATGAGAAGAATGCCTTTTTACATTATATTATGATCGTTATACTATAATAAATGCCTTTTTACGACATTATATTATGATCGTTATACAATAAGAAGAATGCCTTTTTGGTATTCTCACAACATTGTAATACAACATTAGAAAAGGGATCAAAATGACATGTGTTGCCGCAACCACGCCATGCACGCACCTTGCCATTTTATCAGCAGAAGTGCCTGAGTTTACATTTCGCAAATATTTCCCATCAGCATACCGCGCGCCCGAAGGGTAAGAGCTGGAGGGGGGGAGGGCGTTTTGGAGAGAGGACTGACCTGTTTCCTCCACGTGATCGCTGGCTGAGGGTTTCCCTCTGCAGTACACTCCAGGGTAACGTTGCTCCCCTGGTCGGTGATCAGCTGACCCGATTCGGGTACGGTGGTCACCTTTGGTGAGTCTGTGGAAAGGAGATTGAGTTAACGTTACAAACGGCACAGGACGGAGCATCGCTGCTGGAACTGCTTGGATGTGTTTTGGATTACACGGCAGCTATGGGATGAGCCAGAGCCAACATTTGTTTTGATGTAGTTTTCTCAACATCTTGCATATCACAAGAAAAGTATTTCAAGCATTCATGTTCAATATTCATAAACATTTCGTAGAAGTTTTCGACGGCAAAATTGACTGATATCAAATTTATTCCTAGCAAGAAGGCAGACACACTGTCTGGGAACTTCGCACGCAGCGCGTTTGGAAATTGGTAAGTGTATGGCGCGTCCTAGTTCCTACTCACAAACATATCAGTGATGTTCATATGTTACTGAACATGTGTGATGCAGAATAAAAATATAAAGAATATGCCAATATTTTTCGACATGGAAATTTTGTTCACGAGCAATGCGCTGGACAGTTCAGTCATGTCTCGATGGGTTTAGGTATTATGCTGATAACATTTGGGCATACCAATAAAACATTTGACTTTTTACATTGGACAATATTGAACAGCACCATGAGGACACGACACAAACACACCACGAAATAAATAACAAAAATTGGGATGCAAATGTTCTGATCTAAAACACTACATGACATTACGTAACTTTGTGACAATCAGCCATTAAAAGTCACTCTAGTTGTTTGCGCATACCGTAAAGAAGCGCTACATCAGGGGTGACATCAAGCTGGTTATCTCAGCATCTGGTATACTTACACAGCACATCCACCGTATGTGTCAGCTCGATCAGCGGTTTGGACGACACCAAACACGAGTACTGGGCGGCGTCGGCCAGCGTGACGCCGTCTATCCTCAGGTTGTGACCGTCCACCAAACTGAGCCGCTGGTCGCTCTCTATGATGATGCTGCGGGCCGCCAGTACCCGCTTCCCCTGCTGCCACACCACCGGGTACTTCCCTGTGGAGAGAAGGAATAGAAGGAGAGAATGAGTATGGAGAATGAACGAAAATGAGCTGGGTGCCATGGCATGGCCATGGCTGGGTGCCATGGCATGCAATGACATGCCACCCATGCCTTTGGCATGGCTGGGTGCCTGAGATGCCAAAGGCATGGGTTGGAGCGCGCACCTCATTTTCCACTAAGATGTGGAGAAGGTGAATCAGATGCGGTACCCGATCGTTCTACCCTATATACGGCCTTGGTTCTACCTATGTAAGCTGATGACATTTCTGGCAATAAGGAATGAGCTATGCCTTTGCCTATATGGATAAGGGCAGCTCACAATCAATATTGAAAACTTGGCAAAAATTCATCAATTGAAGTGTGAGCCAAAAACTAGATATGAGAAGATGCCGTTAATTGATGCGGGAAAACATAACCTTCCAGGCGGTGGGGGGGGAATTTTTTGCCCCCCCCCCTAGTTTCTAGTTTTTTTCGATATATCTTCAGAAACGCTGCGCCGATCGTCACCAAACTTTCAGTACCCTCCCGTGAATAGCTATTGCACATTGTGACCAAATTTTTTTCCAAAGGCTATGATAGGTTGGCCGCTAATGACGTCAGAGTGACGTCATTTTTGCCATTTCCGACCCCAAAAAAAGGTTTCGCGGGAAGAGCTGTCAGGCCTACAGCTTTAGAGATACAGAAAAATGTTTTAGACATAAGAGGTGTAGAATTAAGAGGGCTACAAAACTGCTTTCTCGGATTTTTGAAATGTTTGGATTTTGACCCCCCATTTTTTTAATATAATAGCCGAAAAATCCAAAAAAAATATGGATTTCGAAAAACCGGAACATATGTGATAGTCCCAACCGCGTTCTATGTACATACCAAATTTGAGATCGATACCTTTTTTGGCCAAGTTATAGCGAAAAAAAACTGTTTAAAATTTATGACGTCAAATTTTCAAACTCAATTCTTAGCAATTCTAGACCTCGTAGCGCAAAAAAAGACCACCATTAGACTCCCCGTGATGAGCTGCATCGAATCAATAACCATTTTATGCAAAACTAACAACTTTAAAATTTGACCTTTTTTGACCTGACCATGACCATGACTCCACCAGAAAGTGACCTACACCGTACCTGATGGTCTTATAACCAACACCATTGAGTTGGAAATGAAATATTGGCCATAAAACATGCATCGCACAACATTAGTAAAGTTGGGTTCATGTGTTGACCCTTGGTGACCCTTATTGACCTGACCTGTGACCTGACCTGGTATGACCAGTCACCTCTAATAGCAACATATGTACTAGACAACTGACACCCTATCGCTGATTTTCGACAAAATGCATTTTACTCGGTGTTATAGCGCTTTCCCTAGATGACCCGTGAACGGTGAAACATTTTATCTTTGACCTGACCTGTGACGTCATCGGTGACCCCGAGGTCAATGAAATTTGGTTTCCGTCAACAAATTTGACAGAGCTATCGAACGCCGTTTGAATTTTCCGGATCCCCAGTAGTTTCGGATATACGGGGGGAGGGGCAATAAAAAATGCCCCCCCCCCCCACCGCGCGGAAGGTGGCCGCGAGGCCCACCGCCTGCCGGGATAAGATAATAACTTAGCAGTTCCGATGAAGTCGAAAAAGAATAATTACCAGAGTAAATCGCATCTGAAAACCCAGCAGACTTGTGTATCGCTTTGGCTGTCTTACTAAGCTAATTCCCATAATTTTCCCAGACTTCTATGTTACGCTAACAAAGCCAATAATAAATAACGACATGCCGCGACAGTATCGATGCTTCTCCTGGGAAACAGTAGTTGGGACGAGAAACGACAAAAAAAAATACGTCGTTGAACGTCGGGATAATCATTGTGAGCGAAGCTAGATCGGCCCTGCGGGAGGCGCGTGATGAGAAAACCTCCTCGTTTGACGCCGGAGCGAGCGACGGCTCGCACACATTGATATCGTCATCACTGTGCTGAGAATACACAGTAGTTCAGGCTAGCGAGAAGTTGCTCTGGGGATAAGTAAAGGTTAAAAAGGCTTCAAAGGCTTCAAAATGCTTAGGAGAGAGGAAAAGTCTTCAGTAATAGCATTGTGGCATAGCTCCTTCGGTTACTTTTGCATTGTTATGCATGACTGCTATGACTAGTACGTCTTGTTTTCTGTTCGAACATATCGAAAGCTCGCAAAGCATTGCACCACGATAACTGATTCCGAAATCGCCTCTTCCATCACGTCCTATCACCGACTGGCTGGTGCCACCCCGTCCCCCCCCCCCCCCTCCGTGTGGCCACTCACCTACGTGCCGAACGCTGCAGGGTAACACCACAGCATCTCCTTCCCTCACGCTGAACACACCAGGCTGAGAGAGGAACTCGGGCCTCAGTTCAGACGGCGACCCCACCTCGGCTATGGCACGGTCTGAAACGACAGAACAGTGTCAGAAATGCAGAGGTTATCAAAAATACAGCACCCATGTGATAACCACGGGCAGACAGACGTGGATGGTGATAAATGAGCGGCGCTGACAGAGGAACACTGGGTTGTAGCGCCAGGCGATTGACAGGTTTGGACAGCGAGAGACGAAGTGTGAGACTGATGAGGGCTCGATTGCGAAGTAAATCACGCTACTGGTCATAAAACTCGTGTGCACTTCAATGCCAGGAGGCATTTGTCTTCCGCGCTCGAACGCTCACGCTCATCAGTGGCAAACTATGATTCAGAGGCAGTTTGATTGATGGAGGTTTTCTAAGTGCAGTCCATTTTTCATCGTACCGGTAGACATAATCAAAACTGAATGACAGAGTCATGAAATTTTCCACAAAAATTATCGAGCCAATACGACTGTTGACACATTTTGTATTATCAAACCAATAAGGTTCTCCAGCATTCCAATGGCATCGTAGCTCGTCCCGGATGCATTCGTGTCACTTTCAATTCGTTCGCGTTCATATCGAACTAGGTCTGTCAAGTGTTGAGTTCAGTTCAGATTCATATCAGCTGGACCGAAGTGCGTCTAAGCTGGTGAATTATGGCGATATTTGCATCACTTGGTAGTAGCCGGTTGCTTCCACGAAAGCACTGTGCGACACTGCGAGAGGGGCCTGCAAGTGACAGGATGAAACCCACCATACACGGCTGGAGGTAGCGTTAGAAGTTTATAGCGCTGTGAAAATGATTCTTTGGAGGCCGCGAGAGGTGCGAGAACGAAATACCAGAACTGCTACAGGACCAGATGAATTGCTCGAAGGCGTCATGCTTTGGAGGTGCTGGAAAACGTGTTGTTACAGAATTCTGGAAGCACGGTAGTGTGCAGCTGCTGGAAGCTACGATGCTAGGAAATGATGGAACGTATAATATTTCGAAACTGCTTGAAGGCTTGATAAAAGGAATTACTAAAAAGTGAGTACATATAATGTTGCAGAGCTGTTTGAGGGCTGAAAAGGACGGCGAATAGCTGAGAGGCCATACTCGGCGCTGTTGGGCAGCCTTTGACCCAGAGTGGATTGGCTGGGCGGGGCACTCTGAGGATCTCTTGAAGACTAGACAGCCGGCTTTTGTAGACACTCTGATAAGCGAGTGATGGATGCCTCTGTTTTGCGATGGTTTTTCCCCTCGAGAAAAAAAGAGAACAGATTGCAGTAGCCTATAGAGATGTCAGTGCTTCTATCGTTTGTGTTTTCACAGAACTCGGCTTCATCAAACATACAAGTCTACTAAACATGCATCGGATCTTTTCAGCTATCTTGATGCTGTTATCCATTAGAGTTTATTGAACCTGTGCAAAGAAATGTTGATGTGGCTAGACTAGAGAATTGACAAACATCATCTTTTCCTGTGACATAGATTCATGTTATCTATGCCTGTGAATAGGTATATTTCGGACACTATCTGGCGTGCGTGACAACAGAACATATCGAGCGCATCAGCCGTTCAAGCGCATTTTTCTTGGCGACCTTTGCTGCCGATATGTTACAATACATTGGACTCCAGGCTCCAGCACGGTCCAACGAAATCCTTCAATCCTGCCAAGCCGACCTGCAAATTAGCCGGGCTGATGACAGCCCAACAGTGAAGTCCCATCGACACGAGCGCAATTAATTAGGCCCGACATCGTTCCCTGCATTGTCTTGGTCGAGCCCCGCCAAGCCGCCGGCGTGACCCCGACCTTCGGACCGCCGTCCCCGCCCGCCGGCGGCGACGGACGGAGGTCGGGCAGCCGCGGCCAGCGACGGCAGCCAGCGGCCGCCGCCGCGGGGCCAATAAAGGTGGACCGCCAGTGCATCAGCGCAGAAAATGACCTTCCCGCCGGCACGCGATCTCGCGAGGCTCGTGTGACCTGACGTAGCAGGGCGACTGGTGGATAGAGTGTGGTCGAGGAGGGGCGTGGGTGTTGTCGATGCTGCTCTCCTAGCCGAGTGCTCGTGAATATGAGGTTTGTTGTTTCACTCACGATAGGGTTCGGAGATTCTCACGCTTATAATTTTGAAGGAGGATTGGTGGTTGTGCGATATGCATGGATATTATGTGTTGCACAAGAGTGTCGATATTTGTAAAGCAGCGATTAGTTTCACCCATAACCATTTTCTATAATTACCCCGAAGCTGTATAAAAGTGGCCTAGGGTATACGACCTTAGCTCATTTAGCTTAGTGACCATAGCAAGGAACTTGAGGAAGAAGAGCTTCATCTATTTTGAGACGAAGTTATATTTGCCTCTGGTGCATGGTTTCCCGTATTAATATTGTTAATTGCTAGTTCAAGTCGTGTAGGTACCTGCTCTCCATTTACAGCAATACCTTTGACAAATGCGTTCAAAATTAGACCATCTGGAACTAGAACGAAGCTCTGGAAGAAGCATTTCTGCAGTCTATGTACAGCCGTTTTCCTAAAACCGTTGTATTAAGGTCTATTTCTGGGCTGTTGTTTTCTTCTTGGGTGCTTTGTAAGATTTTAGCATTACGCCCAGTTACATTTGGCTATTAAATTAACCCTCGCCCGCACATGGGGGGGGGGGGTGGTTGCCACCCCCCCCCCCCCCCAGGTAGTCTTTCTGCTCTGCACTCAACATTTTTAAAGCTAGAAGGCTGATTTTTCGTATAGCTGCTCCTCTATCCTTTCTTCATGTCCACTGAAAATTTCAAGTTTCTGTGATTTTTGGTTTTGGAGATATGACCTTGTTTTTCAGGTCATGTCATGACCCAAATGGCCAATTCTCAACATCTTGCGCTTGCCATGGGCCTTGTGAGCTTTTGACACCCTGATTTCGGCCTTTTTTGCCAGTCTTACCTCCCACCTATCATGGAACATGTTGTTCGGCGATGTACAGGGGTCAAGGTCAGGGTCAAGGTCAACCTAGGTCATCTAAGATAATTGCGTTTTAGGCAAGCTGAATTTACTTTTTGTGAAGTTTTTTGACTGCATTTTTGGTAAAAGCTTCTCAGATCATGATTTCATGTAATATGGACCCAAAAACAATCGGTGCACACATCAGTATACACACAGACACACACAGACATACAAACACATATAATTGACATTGACCTAACTTGACCTGAAATGACCTCAGCAGCAAAATTCTGGTTGGGTAGTGTGACAAAGAGGTTCTAGCTAGCTTGGCACCAGAAAACAGCATCGTCATCGGTATTTGATAAGCAGCGCACTTGATATCCAACGGTGACCCAAAACAGCAATATTTTTTAGTTTGACCTGACCTGGAAGGTCAATGACTGACCTGAGAAGGTAAAACTGGGTATCATTGGATTCGTCTCTTCCCAAAGAATCTTTTTGGTCTTTACCGCTAAGCTCTATCTCCAACAGGAACGAAATGGCGCGGGGGGTGGCAACCCTCCCCCCCCCCCCAAGTGCGTTCTAGGATGGGAAAATGGCATGTGCGGGCGAGGGTTAATCTTGCAAGGGTATTTACTCAACTGAGTCCGACTGTATAAAATCAAGCCAGGAAATAAAATGAGTTTCCGTATTCGTAAAAATACGATCCAGTAAAACGCTACCAACAAACACTAGTGAAATAAAACCAGGTCCAACCACACATATGCTCCTCTCTTGTAGTAAGTGGTCGGGCCCCGATATAGAATGTTCGCTGTCGGGTGCCGGAGGCATGTGGCGGCTGGCGAGCCCGTCAGAGACGCGTTCACTCCAGAGAATGGCACTCATTCGGGCCCGATGGGCGCTAACGTCTCGCACTATGATACCGGCCCGGCTCCGGCCTAATTGGGCCCACCGAACGCCATGCTTTTCAGCAATTTAATCAGACCCTTGGAAGCCGGACGGGGCATTACAAGTCCGACGACGGCAGCGCAGCGCATCAACTAAGTATGGGGTTAGAGAGCCGAATGGCCTCTATTCGACCTAGGTAGCAGGTGGTTTTCGGGAAGTGCTGGGCGGACAAATGTGCAACATCCATTGATCACGATGGAGTTGGTAACAGGCAGCCATAATTTTACACTTTTGACGTCCACAACCACTTCGACACTATGTCATGAATTCTCAGTTGGGATTTGTAGCAGCAAATTGAAACACTGGTAAGTGATATTGCTGGAATAGTTAATTCGCAGACTTCTGTATATATGTACATAGATAAGTCTGTGGCTGGTGAGGATTGAATTGGCTGTGTACCTGACACTCTAGCTAACCTAGCTAAACGTAGACGCATGCGAAATTCAATGCATGGTTAATGGGATTCTGGACCCAAGAAACGCATGCAATATTGCATGCGTTTCTTGGGTCCAGAATCCCATTAACCATGCATTGAATTTCGCATGCGTCTACGTTTAGCTAGGTTAGCTAGAGTGTCAGGTACACAGCCAATTCAATCCTCACCACTCGGCCCACCTCCCCTGTTTGTCACTCTAGGGTGTTATCACCAGACATGTGCTTGGATCCGAGAGCTGGATCTATGATCTCAGTGGATCTCTCGACAAAATAGAGGGGTTGGATCTATGATCCGAGTGGATCTCTCGACAAAATTCAGGGGTTGGATCTATGATCCGAATGGATCTCTCGACAAAATTTAGGGGTCGGATCTATGATCTCTGTGGATCCAGCGGGCAAAAATTTGTGGAGTACCTATGATCTGTATGGATCTCACGACAACATGTAGCCAATGAAACCCTTATCCTACATAATTGTAGACCTTACAGTGCAATACAATTGAGAATTATCACTTGTGGACATGGTTATTGGTTAAGACCACTTGTAATCATTAGGTATCATCATTAAATTTGAATTTAAATAAACAACATTTGCTACTTTTTGTGACCAATTGTAACTTTTTCATGACAGCACTGATGACAATCTTATCAACAAGCTACAGCCACTTAAATTCAATGAACAAACAGTACAGACAGATGCAGTGGCAGCAGGGCACTGCAGATTTTCATTTTGGTCCCATTCTTTCCATGC